TCCACCCTTGCTCTGTCTGCAGCCAAGGTCAGGGAAAGACAAGTTACAAGGTTCTGCCAAACCCCAAAAGAGCAGGTGGTGTTTGCTCAGAGCATGTCCCCACACCTCAGATTCTCTCTCTTAAATGTGTCCCCACAGCCAGTTTTTATGTCCAGGAGTGCATATGGCAAAAAACAAAACAGCTTACCATTGTAACCATTTTTAAGGGTACAGTTCAGTATTGTTAAGTATTTCCCGTTGTGTGACAGATGGTTAGACCTTTTTCATTTTTGGAAACTGAAACTCTGCCCATTAAACAGTAATTCCCCGCCCCTGTGCCCCAGCGCTGCCTGTGCAGCCACCTGTGACTGTTCTGTTTCTGATTTTGACTACTTCGAATGAGTGGAGTCCTGCAGTGCTTGTCATGTTAGGACTGGCTTCTTTTCCTTAGTGCAGTGTCCTCCAGGTTCATCCATGCTGAGGCGTGTGATGAAGAGTGTTCTTTTTTTTTTAAATTAAGAGATTTTTGCCTTAATGGTTGTGTGCTTGCCCAGGAGAGAGACAGGCAGCAAGAGGGAAACTGAGAAATCACCCCCCAGGGGAGATGTCCACGCAGCAATCCCTTCTCTTCCATTCTTCTGGGATCTTAGGCATGCATGTACCTATGCCCAGTGTGAGTCTCAAGCCTCAAGGTCTGGGACTTGAACCACGGTCAGCCATGTAGAGTCCAGCAATGTCACTGCTATGCTGTTTGCTATTCTTATATTTGCTATAGGGTTTGCATGCTCACCAGAGAGAGACAGAGGGAAAGTGAGAAAGCAAGCTTCAAGGTCCAGGACTCGAACCTCATCCATGTGGGAGTCTAGTCCCCTAACCACCGCGCCACCTGCTGGCCCTGAGAATTTCCTCCTTTTGAAGACTAATGTTTTATTATGTATATATTTTTTTGAGTCTATATCTACCTGTTACTTAAAAAAAACTTTTTTTTAGGTTTTTGCCACAGAGTGTATGCACTTGTCAGAGAGATGGCGAGAAAGAAAATATCCTTCTGGGGGTTAGCCATGCCACAATCCCTTCTCCATTCTGTTGTTGGGATTTGGGGCATGCATGTACATATGCTCAGTGTGAGGTTTAAGCTGTTGGGCCTAGGACTCAGACCTCAATCAGCCATGTAAGATTCCAGCTCCTCAACCACCACGCCACCCGCTGGCTCCCACATTAAATTTTTTTAAATTAATTTTTTAAAATGTTTATTTCTTCTGTGAGAGAGAGACAGACTCCCCAAACAGGAACTTCATGCTGTGATTCACTCCCCTCCCCTGCCAACTTCAGTCAGCAGTGATCACGCATGTGTCTGGCATGTATAGATACCTCAGAACGTGAATTTAGCACCTTCTCGTGTAGTCAATCTTAGCATTTTGGAACATTTTATTCCTGTCCACCACTGTGGTTCAAAATCAGTTTGATCACGGAATATTTTCATGTGTAATCAACCACAAATTCTTTTATTTTAAAAAGAATTATTTTATTTAACTTTATTATTATCATTATTATTTTTCAGTTTGATCAGAGAGAGACAGAAAGAGAGAGGAAGTGAGAAAGCAAGCCACCAGGTCTGAGACTTGAACCGTGGTTGGCCATGTGGGAGTCCAGCGCCTTTAACCACCATGCCACTTGCCGGCCCCAGTCTTTTTTTTTTTTAATTATTTATTCGAGGACCAGCAGGTGGTGTGGTGGTTAAGGCGTGGACACTCTCACATAGCCAACCACAGTTCGAGTCCCAGACCTGGTGACTTGCTTTCTGACTTTCTTTCTCTTTCTCTGTGTCTCACTCTGGTCAAATTAAAAAATAAAGTAAACGGAATGAATGAATGAATAAATAAATAAAATTAAATAATTCTTTATTCATTCATTCATGTTTTAATTTGACCAGAAAAAGACAGACACACACACACACACACACAGTCAGAATGTAAGCTACCTGGTCTGGGGCTTGAACCATCTGCCATGAGGATGCTCCTTCGGGTGGCTGTAAGACTTCTGCAGTGCAGTGTGAGAGCCAAGCCTTGTCTTTCTGTGCTGCAGGACGAGCAGCTGAGGGCCCTGGTGAGGCAGTTCGGACAGCAAGACTGGAAGTTCCTGGCCAATTTTCCTGTGAGTACAGCCACTGTATCTCCTCCCCTCTTCCCTGGGACAAGGGTTCTGGATGGCCAGAGTGTGTTTGAGATAGACTTTGAGAAGAAAAGGGAGTCAGAATGCAAGCTACCTGGTCTGGGGCTTGAACCATCTGCCATGAGGATGCTCCTTCGGGTGGCTGTAAGACTTCTGCAGTGCAGTGTGAGAGCCAAGCCTTGTCTTTCTGTGCTGCAGGACGAGCAGCTGAGGGCCCTGGTGAGGCAGTTCGGACAGCAAGACTGGAAGTTCCTGGCTAGCCATTTTCCTGTGAGTACAGCCACTGCGTCTCCTCCCCTCTTCCTGGGACAAGGGTTCTGGATGGCGAGAGTGTTTGAGATAGACTTTGAGAAGAAAAGGG